ACCCCCTTAATTTTACACCATCAATAAAGCTTTCCATGAAATCCCATCCTCCCATAGGGGCCCCGGGAAATTCATTTCCTTGTGGCACCCCAAGAACTCTACTTCTACCGATAACAAAACTAAGTACAAACACAGGGGCAAATAAAGCAGGCACGGAAAGATAAAAACCTCTGAAGTGTTATGTTTTGGAGTTTTTAGCTGATGTTAGCCATAAACAATGTGAATTTTAATGTATTTTATCCCGACAAAGTCAATGTGGCAATCCATAGAATAAATGGTAGTACAATTAGCCTCAGATGTTAATGTCCCTCCAGCTACATATGCACTTTACTATTGAATTTACTTTTCAATTCAGTAAAAAAACAGCAGATCTGTTTAAATTCCTGTACATTTAAAGTGCTTAGAATAGTCCTGGCAGTTTGTATATCCTAAGCAAATGTTTATAAAACAGATGAATAAATGAATGAATGCTTTAATTTTCTTTTAAATTATATTTAGTGTACTTGGGTGAAGCATTTTTGCATTGCCTTTTTAAATAAGAATATTTAATGAAGGATTTTTGCTGGAGACAGTAAAAATATTTTTGCAGATTAAAAAAACTGTGGCTATTATAAATGTAGATATTAGGTTGAAATTGTAAAATATTAATAGCCCTCTGGGTGAATATTGGTTTTGTTTTAAAATACCTTATTTTTTTGGATAATTCTAAGAATAAAAACAAATAATTGCATGATAAAAATAAATAAGCAAACGAGGAAAATAAACCTTTCTATTGAGCAATTTTTCCACTCAGCAGAATTCCCTACAAGTACAGGTAAAGTTGTGCCTATATCAATAGAATATTTCTTCCTATTGCTAAGTAGTTCTCTACATTTGGCTTAACCATTCACCCTTTAAACCACATCTTGATTGTTTCTTATTTTTACTGTTACGAATATGTCCTATGGTTATTGATTTCTAGTTTTATTCCATGTAGTCAGAGAACATATTCTGTATAGTTTTTTAAATTTGTTTTGATGTTTGTTTTTTAATGTGGCCCAGGATATGGTATACTAAGATAAAAGAACCAATTCTTTCATAGTCTCTCAAAAAAATGTATATTCTGATACTTTGGGGTGGATCATCTTATATAGGTCAATTAGATCCTATTTGTTTATTTTATTGTTCCAATCTGTATTAGTTTCCTATAGCTGCTGTTAAAAATTAACACAAATTTGTAGTGTAAAATAAGAAGGAATTCATTCTTTCACAGTTCTGTAGGTTAATATCTAAAATCAAAGTGTGGATAGGGCCTTGGTCTCTCTGGAGAATTTGGGGAAGAATCCTTTCCTTGGCTTTCTAGCTTCTGGTGACTACTGGCATGCCATTGTTACATCAATCCAACCAATCAATGCTTCTGTCTTCACATCCTCTACTCTTGTGTGTGTGTGTGTGTGTGTGTGTGTGTGTGTGTGTGTGTTTTCCTGCTTCTTTTTTATAGGTACATTTATGGTGAGGATCAGATGGTGTTATAATTTTTGTTTCAATCACCACATATGATTTAGACACCTCATGAAGAGGACAATCTATTATGTTTACCTGTATTTCTAGTATTTCTATTCTTTTTTCCTTCCTGATGTTCAAAGTTTCTTTTCCTTATTTTCTGTTTAAAGATCCTTCTTCAGCATTCTTCTGTCCTCCACAGTTTCAGATGAGAAATCTACTGTTATTCAAATGAGTGCTCCCTATCCTATATAATAAAAGGCTAATATGTAAATCGACTGATTGGTGGAACGACCGGTCATTATGATGTGCACTGACCACCAGGGGGCAGCTGCTCAATGCAGGAGCTGCCCCCTGGTGGTCAGTGCGCTCCCACAGGGGGAGCATTGCTCAGCCAGAAGCTGGGCTCATAGCTGGTGAGCGCAGCAGCGGTGATGGCAGGAGCCTCTCTCACCTCCATGGCAACACTAAGGACCCCTTGAGTGATGTCCGCCTGCCAGACTGTGAGAGGGCGCAGGCCAGGTTGAGGGACCCCCGCACCCTCCAGTGCATGAATGTTGTGCACTGGGCCTCTAGTAAGTAATATACCATTTCTTTCTGGCTGCCTTGAAAATACTTTCTTTGAATTTAGATTTTAGAAGTTTAATTATTTTGTGGCCTGAAGTGAATTTCTTTGAGTTTACCCTATTTGAGGTTCATATAGCTTGTTGAATCTATGTGTTTATATCTTTCATAAAATTCGAGTCATTTGCAACCATTATTTCTTCAAATGCTTTTTCAACCCTACTCTTACTTCTCTCCTTCTGAGACTTCTATGATATAAATGGTATTTCTTTTTGTTATTGCTCTGCACTTTATTGTCTGTCCATTCAGATTGAGTAAACTGTATTGAACTATCCTCAAATTCACTGTCATCTCTATTTTTGAGACTACCCAGTAAGTTTTCTATTATAGTTGTATTTTTCAGTTTTATAAGTTCAATTTGGTTATTTTGATATCTCCTATTACTTTCTGATTTTCTCATTTTTCACTATTTTCAAAAGAATTTGTAATTGCTTGTCAAAACGTTTTATGATAGCTTCTTTAAAATTCTTGACACATAATTTCAATATTAGATTCAGTATTGGCATCAATTGATTGCCTTTTCTTGTTGAAGATATGATTTTCCTGAGTCTTATTTTGGTGTTTCATTTTCTATTATATCCTGGAAAGTTTGGCTATTATGTTAGAAGACACTAGATCCTATTTAAATTTTTTATTTTAACAGACAACCACACTGTTTAGGTTTGGCACACAGGTCCTGTCCTACTTTTGTAGGCTGTAGTTGCAATGACAGTGTAATTTTCAGAACATATATGGTACTATTTTCATCTACTTGGTTTATTTCATGCTTCTTGGGCTCCCACTGGTCCTTGTTAATGCTGCTTCATGGGGCAGATCAAGCTCCCTGAGATAACACTTATTTATTACATATAGAAAATTCCATCTAATATTATTTATGCATATACTCATATACTAATTCCATACTAAATAACAAAAAAGCAGAAAGGACCATTTGTGATGGGAAATGTGGAAGCTGATACAGAGGGAAAAAAGAGAAGGGAAAGAAAAAGGAAGAACTAATGAGGAAAACCAGTGATGAGAGAGACTAAATGAAGCGAGAATGCTGAAAAAAAAAGTGTAAGTCCAAAGAACAAAGGGGAGAAGGAAGGAGAAAGCAAAATGGAGAAGAAAAAAAAAGTGATTAGAAAAAAATATGAGAAAGGAAGGGGGAAAAAGACCCCAATAGAAGTCTAAATCTTTGAACATCAGAGGTTTGCTTTTACCTTAATTTTAAGAAAATATTAATATACAAATTTTTACTATAAAGTTGTATATTATGTATATATTTCTTATTATGCCTTTAATATTCCAACAATGGGAAATTATATGTAATTAATAGCACCTCTTCCCTCCAAAAGCAAATCAGGCATATGTAAAACAATCTGGAAATTTTTTCAGAACAATTATTTTCTTTGTATTCAAACCATAGTGTGCATGAAGTCTTTTGAAAGTTTGCTTTGAATTGAAAGTGTCCTGTTTATACTATTCTCTGTGCTGTATAGATTTGGCTCCCTCCCCACCCCCATACTTTGATATCTTTGAAAATAGAACTTTATTTTATCTTTTTATGCTTATCATCCAGAGGTATACTAGTAAATAGAGAACAATAAATACTCCAATGAATAACTGAGAGTATTATGTATAAAATAATGAAACACCAAACACTAGAAGAAACTGCATAAGATAAAGTGAACATTTGATCCCATAGAAATTATAACATCAAGCAAGAATTCAACTTTATTTCCTTATGTAGATTAGATCTTGGTGATTGGTGCAGGGGGGACAAAGTAAATCATAGTTGCAGACTTTGGAATCCAGATCTCTATAGTTTTACCCCATATTTCTTCTTTGCCTCTTGTTTCATCAAGTAGCCTAAGTACTTTATGCTATGAAAAATAAAGACAAATAAATTTATTGAGTATATTCATGGTAGTGGAAAGTGATGTGGGTGAAACTGATGTACAATCTTGGTTGGTCAACTCAGGCTGTTCTTTCCAGGTAACTGCAACCACCTTCCTGTCCAGGTGTTCTGAGATACCTTATTTTAACCCAAGCAACTTATGTAGATGGCTAGATTGTAAGTCCATATTCCTTTCCTATGGTGCTTATCCCCTCTGAGTGGGCACCAAGCTAAGATGGCATAAGCCTGTGTTCATTAAGTTTTCCATTAAGCATCAACTCCGCAAATTCATCAAAAAGCACAGGAAGAGGGATAGATTTAAATTACTAGATCTTCAGATACTTTATATTAAATGAATTTCTTTAGTGCTATCTTGATTTAGGTTTATTTTTAGTTTATATTGAACATGCTGGTTGAATTAATATCTGACAGTTACTTTCCAATAATGTTAGCTTAGTTATATCTAGTTTAAATTTTTATTTTTACGACCAAGTGAATTGTCCATTAATATAGTCAGTGCAAAGACTGCTATATAGTCAAAGGACTGTAGCTGGTGAAAACATCACTTATATAAGGCCAAACAATTATTTTGATTTATTTTAATCTCTTGGACTTATTCTCTGAGTGTTATTTTAATAACAATTAAGTGTAGTTATTTTGTTATTATTAAGAAGATTGAAAGTTTTTGAACTGGCTCATGAACCAGTTTCATTATGTACCTGGGTTTAATTTAATTTTGAATGACAATGTTTTCCTACTTATTTCTCCTTGATCTCAGACTTCATTTTATCATTGTCTTTAGAACGTGGCCAAGTAGAAAACAATAACAAATGTTTTGATTCAGCATCATAAATTTTACACTGGCTGTAAATATTAAATAAATTTGCTTGGATGAATGTAGAAAGTCAGTATGGCTAATAAAGCATTTCTTGCTTTTCCTCTTCAGATAATAATTGCATTTTTGTGAATCTACTATGTGAAAAACACTGATTAAAATTCCATGTTAATTTTGCAGGTGATGGAAGTCAAAGGACAAATGATCCACGTCCCAGAATCAAATTCCATTTTATTTTTGGGCTCTCCATGTGTGGACAAGTTGGACGAACTCATGGGCCGGGGACTGCATCTCTCAGACATCCCCATCCATGATGCCACCCGAGATGTCATTTTGGTTGGCGAGCAGGCTAAGGCCCAAGATGGCTTGAAGAAGAGGATGGATAAATTAAAGGCAACTTTAGAAAGAACTCACCAGGCCCTGGAGGAAGAGAAGAAGAAAACAGTGGATCTTCTATACTCTATTTTTCCCGGTGATGTAGCCCAGCAACTGTGGCAAGGGCAGCAAGTGCAGGCCAGAAAGTTTGACGATGTCACCATGCTCTTTTCGGACATAGTCGGCTTCACGGCCATCTGCGCACAGTGCACCCCCATGCAAGTGATCAGCATGCTGAATGAGCTCTACACCAGATTCGATCACCAGTGTGGATTTTTGGATATTTATAAGGTAAAGGGGTTTAATTATTTATATATAAATTCTTTTTAATAAGAAATTGTGGCCGAAACCGGTTTGGCTCAGTGGATAGAGCGTCGGCCTGCGGACTGAAAGGTCCCAGGTTCGATTCCGGTCAAGGGCATGTACCGGGGTTGCGGGCATATCCCCAGTAGGAGATGTGCAGGAAGCAGCTGATCGATGTTTCTCTCTCATCGATGTTTCTAACTCTCTGTCTCTCTCCCTTCCTCTCTGTAAAAAATCAATAAAATATATTAAAAAAAAAAGAAATTGTGATCTTAATTAAATTGTAGGGACCTACTTTTCTTTTTGTCCTTAAACTTGATAATAAATGATTGATATCTCTGATTTAGACATCTGTGTACAGGATACAGGTATTTCTGCTTTATTAGTAAACTTGTATTATGAGTCAATTTGTAGTATTGATATACTGCAGAAAACTGTGAATCACGGTATTGCTCAGTAAGGAAAAATTCTGTAGAGCTAACCCTTTATAGTCACTATTTAAAACATTAAACTTGCTGAATACTGGACAACTTTTAAGCACTTAATGTCTTTCTTGGAGAGTTGGATTCCAAAGTAAGAACTTTATGTTGACAGTTAAAAAGAAGCAATAAGCTATGCTAAAATATACATTGCATTATCAGTTAAATCATGGTTAATCAATATTTTGCATTGCATTGTCAATTAAGTGAGGTCCCTCTAATTCTGAAAGAACACATGTAAATATTTTAGCTATTGCCTAAATGGCCAATGGTTTTTAGTGGAAGAGAAGAAAAATAGTGGAAGAGCTTTGAAAATGAGTACTAATCACCACTGGAGCGTCTGCTTTGATGGACTCCTTAATATTATTACAATCATAGCAATATTTTGTGTTATTCAGCCCCCGATCTACCTAATATTATTTTAGTATAGGATAAAACAAAGCATGGCTTTATTATGTGAGACAGAAAGTACATTTAGTATAAACAAAGAGCAGTGAACTGTAGGTTTTTATTTTCTTCTTTACTAATCCATTTAGACAGCTATTTCTTTTTATAGTAAGTTCTGCAAATAAGCATATTTGGAAAAAACCTATCTGTTTGCATTGCTTTCATTAAAGCATATCTCCTTCAGAGAAAGGTGTTCTCCGGCCATTATCCTATCCTATATAATAAAAGGGTAATATGCAGATTGTTCCCTAGACTGGGAGTTCGAACGGATTCAACCAGGTGGTGGGGGCAGCTCTCCAACCACCAGGGACCTTCCCTGAAGCCGGCCCAGTCCCATGGGACCCGATTGGCGCAGGCCGGCCTGACCCCACCCGTGCATGAATTCATGCACTGGGCCTCTAGTGTATAATATATAGCCAATGCTATCTCTTTTAGTGAGTCTCTTTTGAGGGGTAAATATTCAGTGTGAAGTGTATATGAGGGATTTGTTTTGTTATACAAAATAAGAGTACTAATAAGTTATTTTTAACTTTCTTATAATTTATTGGCATACAGTTTATGGTAGCGGTAGCCAAATGTCTGGTTCAACACCAGAGACTCTGCGATAGTGTGTCATGTAATTCCCAGCCATGTGCAGAAGACGAGCAGGTCAGCCTGACTCTTCCAGCACTTTTCTTTTTTTATATTTTATTGATTGTTTTACAGAGAGGAATAGAGAGAAACTTCGATAAGAGAGAAACATCGATCAGCTGCCTCCTGCACATCTCCTACTGGGGATGTGCCCACAACCCAGGTACATGCCCTTCACCTGAATCGAACCTGGGACCCTTCAGTCTGCAGGGCGACACTCTATCCATTGAGCCAAATCAGTTAAGGATCTGCCAGCACTTTTCTTCCTCCAGCCTTGGGCCCTAGTGCACTAATCTCTGCAGCCACCAAATGCAGTTTTTTCCAAATCTCTGCACCACTGACTTGCTGTGTTAGCTTCCTCCGGCTGAAATCATCATATGTTATTTTGGTCCCAATTTCATACAACTAAATGAGAGTGATAAACAGGTAAATAGATTCTTCTTTGGAAAAACATGGGAATCCCTGATCTAAATATAAGCATCAGTTAGGTTTTGATCTTAACATGGGATGTCTTCTGAGGGTAACAAATAATTTTCAAGTTTTAAGAATATTTTTAATTAGATTTTTTTAGACATCAAATATCTCTTCTTTGGAGATAAGCTAGAATACTTCCCAGAAAAAGAAAATCTATGGGAATATCCTGTATGAACCTCAGACTTTCCTATATGTTATTAAATCATGGACAGTTCCATATAGTGATAATTATCAGCAAGTGTTAATAATAACAAAGCATATTATGAGGACCATTTGAGGAGAAATGCAGATTAGAAATCGTGTATCTGACTTGCCTAATTTTAAATTTCCAGCCATCATAATCATTTGAAGTAATTTTCTAGGAAATTTAAACAGTGCTACTTCCATGAGCTATATGCTAAAGTTTTAATTATTATTGGAAAAAAATTTCAAGGGCAATAGAATATTTTAAGGACCATAAATATACCGATTTTATAAAATGAAATGGAGTTTTGCTGGATTTAAAATTTGTGGAATTTTTGTAAAATAATCATACCACAGAGGAAAAGGACAATATAGCCCAGTTTTGTTTTATGTTAGAAAAGTAAAAGGAAAGTAGGTAAAGCTGAATGCCAAGAAAAAAGAGCCAGAGAGAGGCATTCAGAGGCCACGAGGGGCATTCAGAGTCTGCTGTGCACAGTGGCCCCAATTTCAAATTTGTGGTTGTGCCTTTCTTGTTCATCTTATTTTTCATGTTTTCCATCACTAGGGAGATGATGCAGTGATGAATAATTCTAATAGAATTTGGCTAAATTAAGCTATAATAAAAAGTTTCTGCCGAAACCGATTTGGCTCAGTGGATAGAGCGTCAGCCTGCAGACTGAAAGGTCCCAGGTTCGATTCCGGTCAAGGACATGTACCTGGGTTGCGAGCACATCCCCAGTAGGAGATGTGCAGGAGGCAGCTGATCGATGTTTCTCTCTCATCAATGTTTCTGACTCTCTATCCCTCTCCCTTCCTCTCTTTAAAAAATTAATAAAAGATATTTTTTAAAAAGTTAAAAAAAAGTTTCTGCTAAAATAATCAAAACCTTCTATAAAGCAGGATATTTAAGAAGAAGCTATAGACTTTATTGAACATATTTCATTCCCAGTGTTGAGAAAATTAAAGTCTTTACAGTGCTTGGCTGCCAAGCTGTTACAGGTGTATGAGTAGTAAATAAGAGCTAGATAACCTGAAGGAAGCATGGATTATAATTTTGATCCTCTTATAATTAGAAAAATATTTAGTAAAAAGTCAGCATAAATAGTCCAATATGTAATATTTTGCTTCTCAGGTTTTATAGGATATGGAGAATGAACAAGATAAAGAACTATTAACTCTTTTTAAATCAATGTCATATATCTATATATATAAAAGCCTAAGTGACCGTCTGATGGTTTGACCATTAGCCTGGTAGCTATGACGCACAATGACTACCAGGGGGCATATGCTCTGACCAGTAGAGGAGGAAACCTGATTCCTCACAGAATTGGCCATGGGTTAGGTTGCTGCTGGGGCACTGTCGGCCCTGAATCTGCTTCACCTGCACCCCAGACCCAGACAGGAGGGAGCTCGATTCTCGGGTGTGTCACCCAAGAACCGCCCTCTTGTAATCCAGGACGCTTCGGGGCATGTCGGGGAGCCAGTTTTGGCCTGATCCTCGCAGGCCAGGCCAAGGGACCCCACTGGTGCACAAATCCATGCACTGGGCCTCCAGTACTATAATAATTGTATTGGGAATTGAAGCAACCTAATGTGGATTTTGCCTGAATTTATATATTGGCCTCTGGAGAGCCCTTTAGTTAGAAATAAGGGAGAGGAAAGGAGTAGGATGAGTCCTTTTTCATTTTCCTATCATTCCATTCAGCCAAGGCTGTGATATCCCAGGACTACCTTCAATACACTCCTTAGAGTTCTCATCTTTTCACCTTTACCCACTGTTTTTACTTTTCTCTAGTTCTATTACCTATGAAGCCTCGATTCCAAATCAGACTAATATGTGGCGTTGTTACATTATCTTCATTTTCAGACAGAGAAACTAAGTTCTAGAAGGTTACATACTCCAATTAATACAGCGGATGAGTGCTTGCCAGTATTACTCAGTGGTTAGAGTGTTGACCTATGCATCGAAGGGTTGCAGGTTGGATTGTGGTTAGGGTGTGTGCAGGAGATAACCAATCAATGTGTCTCTCTCACTTCGATGTTCTTTTTTTCTTTCTCTCTCTTCCTCTCCTTCCCTTCCACTCTCTCTCGAAAAAATAAAATAAATGGGAAAAATATACTTGGTGAGGGGATATATATATATATATATATATATATATATATATATATATATTAGAGGCCCAGTGCACAAATATTTGTACACTCTGGGGGGGGGGGTGGTCCCTCAGCCAGGACTTCCTCTCACAGTCTGGGACCCCTCGGGGGATGACCACGTGCTGGCTTAGGCCTGCTCCCTGGGGGGATTGGGCCTAAGCTGGCAATAAGACATCCCTCTGACAGCCCAGCAGCCCTTGGGGGATGTCTACTTGCCAGCAGGGAGCAGACCTAAGCTGCAGTTGGACATCCTTAGCGCTGCTGAGGAGGCAGGAGAAGCTCCCACCACCACCGCTGTACTGGCAGCCATCAGCCTGGCTTGTGGCTGAGCAGAGGTCCCCCATGTGGGAGCTCACTGACCACCAGAGGGCAGCTCCTGCATTGAGTGTTGCCCCCTGGTGGTCAGTGTGTGTCATAGTGACCAGTCATTCCCAGTCTTTCTGCTGTTAGGGTCAGTTTGCATATTACCCTTTTACTAAATAGGATAGAGACCTGGTGCACGGGTGGGGGCCGGCTGGTTTGCCCTGAATGGTGTCCTGGATCAGGGTGGGGGTCCTGCTGGGGTTCCTGGCCAGCCTGGGTGAGGGGCTGATGGCTGTTTTCAGGCTGCCCGCACCCCCT